AAAAAAAAAAAAAAAAAAAAAAAAAAAAAAAAAAAAAAAAAAAAAAAAAAAAAAAACGAAAGAAAGAGTTCCTGAAAGGAACTGGAAAATCAAAATCAAATCAATTACAGGTCTCAGAATTAGATCAATCTTCTTGCAATTTCCAATTCTCTATCTCACTTTCTACAGGAATACAAACAAATGGATTAGAAATTGAAACTGATGGAATATGAGATTTAGATTTTTGCATAAGGCGATGAGATAGAAGAGTGGGGCAATGTTTTCGTAGCTCTCTGTCCGTTTCCAATCCAATTGGTATAATCTGGAGATGTGCATTCATGTTTGAGTTCTCTGTTTCGTCTTTTACTCATACAGAAAGGTTTCCAAGTATTATTCCATCTTACGTTCCTTGTTTCTTAATATCCAATGATCAATTCATTTGGTAAATCGTATCAATTACTCCTCTCTTTCTTTTTTGTTGCCTCAATTCTGCTCCAAGATACGGGGATTCTTGCTGTTGAAGAAGATTGTTGTTTCGGGCGTTGGGTTTCCTAATATAGAAGGGGTTGATTTTAGTTTCTTTTTCCTTAATTTAGAAGATCGATGCATTACAGTTGATTTGATTTTACTTTGCTTGATCTTGTGTTTTAGATTTGTGAATTTTCAAGCTTTTAGATTTAACTCCTCCCATGACTTCGTGGGTTTGTTAGTTGAATCTTGATTCTTTTCAATCTAAATTTTGACTTCAGATTTTATTTAGGGTTTAGGGTTTATTTCCAATCCCTAAACCCTAAACTCAACTTTTATTCTTCACTGATCTCTAAATATATTGATTAATTAACGACCGGAAGCTTCATTTCAGTAACTGTATTATTATTATTATTATTATTATTATTATTTTCCATTTTTATCATGTAATCAAATTTATCTACGATCTTATGTTTGTATGGGCCTCGGCCCATTAACAGTGAGGATAGGCCCAAGCGATTATGGAAGTAAAAGAAGATATTGAAACCGTCAAAATAGAAAAGCTGAGTTCAGTTAGTTCTAGAATTAGAATGAGATTTAAATCTAAATTCTAATTTTAATTCGTCTTTTCAATTTACAAAACGACCCCGCAATTATGGATTAATTTAATTGGGGCATTTGAAGGGCGGAAAAATAAATAAATAAAAGTGTTGGTTGATGATGAGTTGATGGCATTTTTGCAAAGTGAGCGGCAGAAATGGCGTCTCCTCCGTTGGTTTAAATACCTCCTCCTTCCTCCTTTCCCCTTCCATTTTCTCTCAATTCTCTGCAAAGATCCATTAATTCTTTCTGGGTTTTGTTTCGTTTTGTGTTTAGAACTCTCAAGAACTTCATAAACGGGAAAGAACAAGACAAGAACAAGAACAAGAACAAGAACAAGAACCAGAACCAGAGCTTTATTTCCATGTCTTCTGATCTGTTCGTTCATGGCGATTCTTCTTCTTCTTCTTCTTCTTCTTCTTCTTCTCTGTTTCGTTGTTCCGCCTCTGATTTAGTCTTCCCATCTGATGCAGACTTCCAATTCTTAACCGGATCTTGTTCCCCTAATTTCTCCGATCACGGCATTGATCTTCACGTTTATTACCCTCATCAAAACCCACTCCCTGCCGATGAATCCAATTCCAATTCAAACTCCAATTCCGTCGATCAACTCATTCCGATCCCGGAGTTATCTCTCATCCCAGATTCCTGTTCTTCCCCAAATGGGTTTCAAAATCTCTCAAATTTCGATGTAAAAAACGAAGAATCCCATCTGGGTTTCAACCAACCCCCACTCTGTTTCGACCCATCTGATCATAATAATAATAACAACAACAATAATGCCGCCACCGTCGACAAATCCCTGCTCCACAGAAGTCGCATGGAGTCTCTTTTAATGGAGTCCGTGTCACCAAATTTCCCCAATCAGTCCCTCCCCTGTTCAGAATCAGAGTTTTTCTCCTCCCAAATCCGTCGCGTTTTCAGCACCGGCGATTTACAGGTATGGCATGTTATATATATTTTGGGGAGAAACCCATTCACGGTTGGTAGTAAATGTTTGAATATGGGGGCAGAATTCAAGCATGGGACGCTCGAGGACAGGGTGCGGGCAAGGGTCGTTCTCGAGTCCATTATCAGAGAACGGAAGCTTAGAAGAGGGGAATTTCAAAGTGGGACGGTACAGTGCAGAGGAGAGAAAAGAGAGGATTTCAAAATACAGAGCAAAACGAAGGCAGAGGAATTTCAACAAGACGATCAAGGTTAGTATAGCAGAACTGAATTCAAAAACAAAAACGGTTTTCAGAGATTGAGGATGCCGCATTAATGGGGAGTTTGGGATGAACTGAACAGTATGCTTGCCGGAAAACACTCGCCGACAACCGCCCCAGAATACGTGGCAGATTTGCTCGCAATGACGAACCCGGAGACAGCTCCAAACCTTCTTCTTCAACCAGAGAAGAAGACGAAGATGATTTCTGGGTAAAAAATCTCTTCTTTTTCTTTTTTATTTTATTTATTTAATGAGAAAAAAAAAATTCATATCTTGTTTGAATGCAGATGGAACGGTTGCATGCAGGGGAAGAAGTGTACGGACAAGTGCAGTTTCAGTATTGTGAATTTTGATCGCAGCTGGAAGGAGAAGAAGAAGAAGATAAAGAAATATATATATATATATTATTTATTTTTTCTTTCCCCTTCCAGTGAAGGGAGAAAAAGAAAGAAAAAAAAAGGAAAAACGAACTTGACCAAACGGCCCTTTATTCACAACTCTGTCTAAATAAGTAAATAATAATAATTGAACAGAGGTGGGGGTAGTGGTAGGAAAGTGGTAAATAGCTTCTGGTTTTTTTTTTTTTTTTTTTTTTTTTTTCTG